ACTTACAGCTAAATTAGAGCCCAAAAACCAAAAATACCACATGACCGTGCGTCTTGCCTCAGCCAAGTTCCAGTTCGAGTCCGCTGGGTCAAAACTATTTACCTTTGACAACTTTTCCCATTATGAGAATATATAATTTCTATATATTGTGATTATCCTTATCAATAATAATTATTAGATTCTTCCAAAAAAATAAACTGCACAGTTAATGCATATTGCTGTTCATTACTAAAACAATACAAGATCCAAAAGATTCCTTTGAGAAATCGATTATAAAGCTACTCTACTTAACAATATATACCGTATAAACACATATTACAGGCACTTGTACATATGTGTGTATACAGTGTATATGTGTATATATATACATACATGTATACACACATACACGTACATACATACACATACACACATAAATATATGTGTGTGTGTGTGTGTGTGTTTGTATTGATGGGAATAATATCTGTGTATAAATGTAATCCCGTAACTTGCATTAATGCAGAATGAATTAAATTAACCGGCATATAGAACTCAACGGCTGTCACTTCTACTTGCGGTAGCTATCTTATCGCGCAAACCGACGAGGGCATTGAGACTTGGGACTAAAGACTTGAGAGATTCAGGAAACGGTGAGAGGCGCGGAAATGAGCCAAGTCATTCCATGAGAATAACGTATTCGATTTTGATCTCCCTTATTTATTCTCTCTCTCTCTCTCTCTCTCTCTCTCTCTCTCTCTCTCTCTCTCTCTCTCTCTCTCTATATATATATATATATATATATATATATATATATACACACACACACACACATATACATACACACGCACGCGCGTATACATACACACATATATAAGCATTTTGGAAAAGTATCCCACATTAAGTAAACAAACAATCTACCAAACAAATAAAGGATAGGCTTGTAAATGGAAAATCCTATCATGACTCACCAGATGCCAGTGATATGTCGATTAGTCATTTCATACCATTACCCTTATCTGGTCACGTTGTTGAGAGACATGTATATTAGTTGTTTTAATGTCTAAATCATTAGTATTAGTAATTCGTAATAGTAATTTCTAAAACATTAGTATTAGTAATTCTTAGAGCATTAGTAGTAGTAATTTCTAAAGCATTAGTAGTAGTAATTTCTAAAGCATTAGTAGTAGTAATTTCTAAAGCATTAGTAGTAATAATTTCTAAAGCAACATATATGGTAGAAAAACCCACAATGCAAAAAATAGATTTATTGAAAGTGAGACAACAGTTTCATCCTCAGGTCTGAAGAGGAAAGGGAGAGGAGGGGGTATAAAACAGAGAGAGGAAAGGCAACATATATGTTCTTAAGGAAACCTAATCTCATTCATTTCAATAAAAGTATTGTATTAGGTGTTTGTCATTTCTTTCACATATACCAGGGACAGTAGCATGAAGAGTTCACCATTGACTAACTTTACTGAAATGTTTTGTTTCTGTTTGTTTCTTTGTTGCGTTATTCCAGTAAGTAACAATGTGCATCCATTTTCAAGAAAGAACTAACTGGCAACTCACCCTCTGGGATGCTCCATTACGCGTCTTAATTTTATTCTAATCGACTGGTAAGGCTTATATTTGCATATGTTTGGTTTTCAAAGAAAAAAAAGCAATCTTTACGTTACACTTTTTTTTATTTGATT